TTTTTTTTTTTTCAAGATTTTCAAGGAAAAAATGACTGCTTTTGAATTTTTAATGCGTTAAGGGATTAAGAGATGTAATTGCGTGGAGAGGAAGGAAAGCTCGAAATAATGCCAACGATTTATTTTACGATTTCGCTACTGAAAACGAGTAATAGCTAGGAGACAGAATACTCTCTGATTCCAGCCTATTCGAGGCTACGTTTGCCTCGAATATTTAAAATCAAACAGAATGTAAGACGTAATTAACTGCTAGTTGTCCTTCTTTGATCGAATTCGAGTATAGGAACAAAAATGTATGTATATCGCGTATTCGCAAAAATATTAGCGAATATCCGCGGGAGGAAAGAAAAGAAAGGAAATGGCGGCGAGAAAGAAAGATCGAGAAATTTCGACGAGAGGAGGTTCACTCGACCGATCGAATTCGATGAAAAATTCAAAAAAGAATAAAATTGGAACGGAACAAGTTTTCTCGAGTTTTTAACCCTTTCCTGCTCTACTTTTGCAATTTATGCGGCCTCTGCTTATTCTCCCTCGATTTACCAAAACAGGGGAACACAGAATCGAAACGAGCCCGCCTCGCGCTACTTAATTCTTTCCCGACTTTCCAACGGCAAAGGCTACTTTCCCGGATTATCATAAACTTGAAATTCCCGACAAAGGAGTCGCGTCCCTTTTTTCCTCGTTCAGACTCGTATCTCTTCCTTTGTTCCATTCCATCAACGATGGAAATAAATTTATCCTCAAGGAAATTCGATATTCGAAATTTCCCTCCTTCCAAAATGGCAAAATAATTTTATTTCTGCGCGCACATAACCGCTCTCGATACTCACCGTAAGTTTCTTTCTTTCCTTTTTCTTTTTGACACAATATTTGTTATTTGAAAATGTTTTCTCTCCATATTTATTCCTATATCACATTGGATGGTTACCAACGAAAACTTCGTACTTCAAAAGAGGTCTGAGACGACTGAAACCGACGCCAAAAACGGTTAAGATACGTTTAAAAATAAGCCAGTTAAAGTAATTTCTAGCATGCTAGGAAAAAAAATTTATAGCCTCATATCTCGAGCACAAGGAGGCATAACCTTGAGATCGAAATGCGGCGTTGTCGGTTCTCCATTCGCGAACGGTGTCGGTTCGAGACGAATTCCTCTTTGCTCCGTCAACTGAACCGGCGGATAAGTTACGAGGGAAGCGAACGCATTGTAACAACGTTTCAAAGGTGTAATAGGGATTTCCACCAATACTTCGCCTCTCCTCTTCCGTTCAATCCCCGGATAATCCCTAAAAGTGCACAAGACTTTTCGAGAAATCTTTTCGCTCGATCGGCATCGATGCTTCGTAACTTTCCTCGATCCTGTTACGGACGAATCGAGAGCGGACCCAAGATTTATCCGTCACGCGTGTCACTCATCCACGCGTTTTCCAAGCGGCTTGAGTTAACTGAGGAAAAGAAATAAGGGAAATCTTCTTTCCGCCGAGAAATCACGATAGATTTGTGTTCTCGCAATTGCAACGGTGTTGATGGATGGAGAAGCCAATATACTCCTCGACAGATGTCGTAACAACTGATACATTCTCGAAGTGCAATTGTGTAAGCGGTTACGCGTGTCTGTAAGAAAACAGGCTTTTGAAAATAAAATCGAATGAATTACTTATTAATTACTTATTATTATATATAAAATGTTTGAACAACGTTCGTTCGTAGCTATTATAATCGATCCTTTTCGCATAACCTCATTTCGCAATTATTTCCAATTATCGTCACTTTACGAACGATAAATTATCGAATTAACTCATCCAAACAATTTTATTCGTAATTTCGACTATTAAATTTTCCCCATCGCTGACAGCAGGTGATCGCATCCCACGTGTGGAAGCACGACGATGATATTAAAATATTGGACTATCCATTTGTTGTATCCGGCGTGTTGAGAGTACGACCTATTCGCGATGAGACTTTGTTTACAAGTGACGTTCGTGTGCCCTTGAAAAATCCTTTCCTAGTTCAGCTGGCAGGATCTCGGTTTCCCTGGTGGGGCACGACAACGACCAATAATATCGCGGTTGATGCTTGGTTCGCGACGCTCTCGACACTCTGGAGAGAAATTTCTCGAATCGAGCCAATCTTTACGCAAACATTCGAAATATACATATCGAAATAAACGGGAATCGATCAACGTATCTCTGATATAGATCTCTTCTATTAGAACGCGTCTGGAATACGTAGCCTTTAGAATCAGTCTAGGCTAGAAATGCGTCAAAAATACACGATTACAAGCGTCGATTAAATTCTCGAAAACGACTGTCTTCTCGGATAACATCGTCCTTTGTTCGGGCTCAAGAGTCAAAAACGTACAAGCGTCGATTAAACTATGACAAAACGACACTGTTCTCGAATAACGTCGTTCTTTATTCAGGCTTAAGAGTGGGTATTTGCGAGCGATAATAACAGAAAGAATTTTCCATACGAGGAATTTCTTGGAGGAACTATTCTCTTCGCTTCTCTTCGAGAACAATTTTAATCTTCATCGATGCTTTCGACGATTTTTGTTCGGATGAAAATCGGGATTAACGACTGCTCTTCTTTCGAGATTTCGCGCAATTTTTAAGAGTATCTCTCTCTCTTTCTCTCTCTCCAAAGAGTGGATGGTTAACCACTACCGAGGTTAAACGACGAGTATAGAGGAATAGGAGGCGACCTCGAGAAACAATCGCCCAAAGCAGCCTTTGGTCCCTCGTGCCTTGGCCAAATGTCAAATTGAAGGGCTGGCGAGGGAAGCGTGCACGATCGAGCAAGAAGATAATGGAGTGGTGGAGGAGGAGGGGGGAGAAATGGCGCATACGCGAGAGGGAGAAGACTAAGAGTTTCCAAGGACTATGCGACGTCGACACGCTTGGCCTTTGGGGGGAGGTCGAGGGATCGATATGTAAGCTGCTCGACCCGTAAATACACGGTGGCTCCTTACGAAAACCGGGCCAAATAGCTGTGTCTTTCTTCTCCCCCCAACTCTGTTCTTCCTCCCTTTGTTTTTTATTCACTAACGGATAAGGGTAGTTCCCTCCAAACCGGGAACCTTGGATCTTCAACTAAATGCCACGAATCGCGTTAACGAGTTTCTCTCTTCTTTCGTTATTTTTTTTTTCTTTTTCTTTGCGTCGGTCGATCGCCATGGATGAAGATACATGCTTTTTCTCCAATCCCCTTTGAATCGCAAGCTTCTTCTTCAAAAGTTTGACCAACTTTTCCCTTCGCCCGCGCTTTCTCCCGAGTTCTTCCTTCGAGTCGATCGGCGAAGATGAAAATACTATACGACGGTTTCCAATCTTCTTACCGAATCAACGTAAGCAACGTTCTTTCTAAGATGTGTAAGAAGAAGAAAGGGTCTTCCAAGGGTTGAACTTGGAATCCTCCGACACCGATCCGTCCATACCATAATTTTCGCAAGCAACAGAGTAAAGATGAAGAATAAGTATTTTTCAACCTTCCTCGCCGAGTTTCCTTTCAAATATTCGTAAAACGTGTAGAGAAAAGGAAAGTAAAAGTTGAAGTTGCTCCCATAATTAATTGCGAAAAATAATAATAATAAAGCGAATCGACTGTTTTTTGAAAATCGAAATTTTTAACTTCAACCCTTTTACGTTCGATGAGTTTTTTTTACGGGCAAAGTAGCGACTCGAGATAACGTAAAATCATTAAATTTGTTTGTTGAGTTTATTCTGAATTATTAAAATTTTGCGGGGCATCGCTATCATCACTTTCGAATTCTATTATTCCAATTTTTCGATTTCTTACACTTAATACGTATTTTCACTTTCTCTGCTGCTAATTCCTTAATGAATAATTAATTAATCTCGTTTCTCAATAATTCTCGGCCATTTCGAGAATAAAAGTTGGATATTCTAAAGTCAAATTTCTATAGAGATGACAGAAAAGCCAGTCCATTCAACATCTAATCCTCTACTGCTCTACTCTCAAATATAAATTTTTTCGTAACAAGCACAAATTAGAAATCACACTCAAGACATAAAAGACAAGAAAATGCTAAATTTAATTGATTCTTTAAACGACATTAAATTATTAAATCAAATAAATGTAATCAATTCCCACTTACTCTACGCTAATAATCACTAGACGTTAATGCGATATAAAACCCAAATAAAAAAAAAAAAAGTTGCCGCATCGCCTCGTGGCGACTGAGAGGTTAGTTGATTCTCAACGCCCAATTCTATACTTTATGTCAACGAAATTACGAATGTTCGAATCGATCTCTACGTGAACTTTGACGAAAATAAGTATTCTCGAACGCGTAAGTTCAATTCAAATATAAAGGAGGTTTGCCGTAAAGTTTTTAGTTTGGTTCGTTCGATAAGTTTCGAGGATCGCCGGTTTTCTTCAACCGGCGCGCGATCAACCGAATCGATATCGCGTCGAAAGAGGCTATTCCGAGACTGGATTTCGAGCGACGATTAAAGCGCAAGTGGAGGGGATGGCTCGTTCGCCTTTACGAGCGGGGCGTGGAATCGCGTGTAAGGTAAAAGAAAGAATGGAATAGGATGGGTGTAAGGAGAATTGGAAGTCGTTGGATATTTTTCTTTGAATCAAGTTTGGGCAAGTTACAAAGGGATAAAGGAAATACTCGTGTAAATGTGTGAAAACAATCGAGCTAATTCTTCGAATCGACAGGAGGGAAAGTTTCATTGTCGATATTCTCGAGAAAACAAGATATTCGAGATGTTATTTTATAATTTCGTTCTAATTTGTACGTTATCGGAAAAATTAAGAAGATTCTTTCTCTTTTCTCTGTCCTTTCGTATATTTCAATTTTCTTTCCCCACATAGAAAAAAAAAAAGAAGGAAAAAAGACAATGATATTTCAAGCGTGAATCCAATCTGCCATTCTAAAAAGTTATTCGATGGAACGCGCGACTTTTTCCATCTTCGATCATCATCGATACTTTTATCAGTTTTATTCGTGGTTTGATTTTTCGTGGTTCCAACTCTCTTTCTCTCTCTTTCTCTCTCGATTGTTGATAAATCGCGTATCCAATCGCTCTCTCGATTTTCGAACGCATTCAAATCCATCCGGAAAATAGAATTTGGGAAAAAAAAAAAAAAGAATTTCAAAAAGAACAAAAACGAAGAGATTTGGTTAAACGGGAGGTGTGGAAAGTGCGAGGGACGAAAAATTGTTAATCGTTTAAACCATCGAGGACAATAATGTCGGACACGATGTGGAAAAACCGTGAGAGAAAAAAATTAACAGGAGAGGGGGGAATAGAAACAAGACGAAATTGCCTTAATAAACGAGATGTTCCCGTTGTCGAAATGGCTGATATGAAATTAAACAATTTTCACATAGAAGCTTTTTGCACTCGATACAAGGACAGAATAGACGAAACGAGAAGGAACAAAAATGCTAGAAGACGTATCGAGTTCCTCCTTTCTTTCTTCCTTCCTTCCTTTCCTTGCGCGATCGTTCCACGAAAACGTATAATAATAAACCGCACGAATGGATATTGCGGTTGTTGTTGCCGAGCATGCGCACACAGCGTGCTCGGCCAACTAAACGGGGAATAAAAGTTAACGAAGCGAGGATACCGTGAATTAATTTATTTTTCTTTCTTCCCGTGTTAAACGCGCCCTATTAAAGAAAATCTCGTGTCTCGTCCGTTGCTAGCAATCTTTTTCCAATGCGGAGATTTGAGAAAACATCGTTCGCCTTTACAAACGAAAATAATACACCGTCTCTTGGGATTATTGTTATCAAAAATCGAGGATCGATCGATTTTTTACGACGAATAACGAGCGTCTCTCTAAGGGTCTCGTTCAATTAGACGATTATCTCGCTACTCTCTTTCGAAAATTATTCGACTTGTCCAATTACACTCCGGCTAAGATCCCTATCTTCGAATCGAGCGTCCAACGGAAGAATTAATCAGCTCGAAGGATAAGGAAGGGAGGAATTGAACCGATCGAATTTTTCGAGAAGCTTCGCCGAGTTTCGTTGACGATCGCGTTACCTTGCAAATCTAATCTCATCTGATCCGGTTTACATGTTGTCTCCGTCTCGAGGCGAGAAATCTCCCTTTCCCCCCTCTAAGAGATTAAAATGAAAAAGGATCTTTCCCGGTCTTGAGAGAGATTCGAATATTCGAAAGCCGGTATGAAATCCCTGCGCGCTAATTGCGTCGAACCGAATTCTCGATCCAGAACCGTTATTACCGCGCGCTTCCATCGGCTCGAGGATTAACCCTCGAGTTTAACAAACGAGAGGAAAAGCGTCTCAAAGCGTCTAAAGGATAAGAGCTGCTAAAGGACCTTTCTCTGGCAACTCTCCTCCCCACAGTACGCTGTTGCACGCGGCTCCTGGAGACTTCTACGCAACTACGTTCTTATTAACTCTGCGCTACAGGCCTTTTTCGCTCGGCCGAACAATTCGAGATTCGGTGAATTTCTTAGCTAACTTAAAATGATTTCACGCAAGAATTAACGTATAAAATTTTTATATTCTAATATTTCGTGTATCTTTACGTGTAAAGAAAGAAAATTTGTTGGATATTAAAGTCTATATCGTTGTTTTGAATTTTAATAATAAAGTAATTGATGCATTTTCGGTTTGTCAGGGCGATAAAACGTCGTTCGTCTTTCTTATTTTATTTGCTCTCACATTTATCATCTATTATTCTTATTTTTCATTCATTCTGTATTCTTTTTATACTTTACTTTCACCGCTATTTTCCTTCTGTCTATCAATTCAATTTTTTCACAAATAGAAATAATTTCGTTATTTAATTACGAAATACTCATCTTAAATTAGTATTCCAATAACGTGCTTTCACATTCACCGTCTATTATTCTTATTTTTCACTTTTTTTCTTATTTTCTTTCTCTCTATCAATTTCTTAATGAATAGAAATAATTCCTGATCATAATAAAGCTAAAATAAATATATAGAATACTAATATTCTTATGATCAGTTGATATTTTTTATGTTTAATATTAAGGATTTAAAAATCTTTTAAATTTATAATAAATTATAAATAAATTGATCAAAATTTAAATAAAAATACGGATATCGAGCGTGTTCTGAGAAAATTTTTCGGACTTTATATCCAACTTTGAAGAATTCTCCCTTCCAGTTGGACAAGTTTCGGACAAGATTCCTTCCGCTGAAACTGCAAATAGAGTGACGCGCGATAAATTCGTTTCAACGAGGATGAAATCAAGAGAAACTCGTTCGGTTATTCTTTGGCGGCTGTGCGCATCGATAAATTTCCCCCAACTTTGGACCTGGTTTAATCCTTCGAGTCCGATAATTTACACGATGGATGGAACAGTTTCCGAGCTATGAGCTTCCAATTTTCTTGAAAACTTTCCCACCTCGACCATCCACCGCTTTAAAATTCTATCCTGTTAGACACCGGCTAACGCTCTCATCCCAAACCCTTCCACACTTTCTTTCACAGTGTCGCTAAAACGTTACACCTTATTATCG